AGCACACTGCTAACTGTAGCCTAAGTTTGTGCCTCATACAGATCTGCTGGTAAAGTTAACTTAGCGTTAGCAAGCGTGAAAAGAGACGGCAGAGAAGCGACGTTGTGCAAATAAACCAAAGATTTATTCATTTTCTGTAGCAGTAAACAGATGGGCCGATAACAAATGTGTTAACTAACTATGCTAAAGCTTTACAAGCTATTCAGGGCTGCCGACGATAACGTTAACATGACAAACAACAAGGCTAACGTTACGGCTAACGTACTGACTCCTGCTCCTCAGACACACACACACACACATACCGGACAGCCTCTCAGTCCTTTCTTAGCCGCTAACATTAGCTCATGTACAACACAGGTACCACACAGAAACTTTTACAAAGGGTCATAATGTACTTCTAGTGACCGTCAAATCGCCAGCGAACGTTGTTTACACTGCGGACACGAAGCTGTTAGTGCCTGCTCTCATGGGACAAAGATCCTCTGAGAAGAAAGACCATTCACTCTGCTCTGCTGCCAGGAACAAACTGGGAGGCAAAGATCCTCTCTGAGAAAGAGGGTTCACTTTGCTGCAGGGTTCACCTACGTATATTGTTTCTCTTCTGATACAGTCAATGTGAGCATCACAACCACTGTAGTGTATTGCACAAAAGCTTTATAAGACGGTTACAGGCAGCAAACTTGTGGATGTTTACCTTTTTTGTAGCCACTTTATTTAAATTGTCTGCCTTGTGATTAGATTTAATTTAAAACATTTATTTTGTATGTGTTGGTCAGGTAATGTTATATAAAAGTACATGATGACTAATGTACTGCTTTGGGGTCAATTCTTAATGTAAACAGTATTTTTAATAGTAATGAACCAGGTCAGAGGGTTCCTTGTTAAATATACTTCGTTAGTTCTCAGAAAATATCTTAATATCCAAGCAAATTTTGTATCATAATTGAAATATACTTGACTGAATCGATATTGAACTGAATTGAATTGAATTGAATCAAATCGTGAATCGGATCGAATTGAGTCCTTGAAAATCGAATCGAATCGATCTGGAAAATCTGAATCGATACCCAGCCCTAATTACTATGTTGCAGTCATTGTTTTTGTCCTGCCTTAGTATGTGTCCAATCATTTTACATCTACAAAGCTTCACTTCCTTGCTCAACTGTTTAATTTCAGCCCTTTCTAGCAGCTCTTCAGTACTGACATGGTCATGCCAATGTATACGGAGTGTTCTTCGTAGGCACCTATTGTGGAACACATCAGCTGCTTTGTTGTCTCCCTTATTCATTTTCCAAGTTTCACGTCCATAGAGTAATACTGGCACTACTAGTGTCTTATACAGTCTGAGCTTTGTTCTTCTTGAGATGCTTTTGGCGCTCCAGGTGTTTTTTAGTCTGATGAATGCACCTCTTGCTTTTGTGAGTCTATTCTTCAGGTCTTTCATACCACCCCTCTCCTTACGAACGGTGGCTCCTAAGTATGTGAACTTGTCTACATCTTCGATGTCTTGCCCATTGATCTTAATGCTTTCCTGGTTTCTGGTTCTGGATGTATAATGCTACAAACAAAACAACAACCGATCTGCTGTACCACACAAGTCATCTTTTTTATTTATTTTCAATTCTTTGCAGCAAATTATGTTTTCGGTTTGAAGCTCATATTCAGTGCACTTACAACATAAACATGGGTTTGCTTGCAGAAGTTCCAGTAATATATAAGCAGTATTTAGACTAGACTGGGAAGGTTCAAGTTTAATTTATGGTTGTGTTATCGCAAAATAAGATGTTAATAAATATTGATGATTAACTTAAATGCTTCCCGCTTTACCTGAATAAGCATATCACATTTTTTTTTCTTAGCTTACCAGGGGAACATCTGTCCTCCACTCAAGGTGTTATGATTAAACTGGTATTTAAGTGCGCTTACCCATTTCATCTCTGGACATTATTCATTTATCAACCCATTACCGGGACCGTGCAGTTTTCATCTAAAATAATTTAAGATTTATACATCAGCAATTGCCTAATACAACAGGGACCTGATACTGTTTATGTGTTTACAACATGTTCTATACAAGAAGCATTTTCAATTAAATGGATGCGTCCTCGACTCAGTTTAAGCCTCCATTAGCAAACCTGAATTTGTCATCCTCTGATCATGTTCTCATTAACACTGTGTGCATTTATGCTTAACTTGCTACAGTTTATTATGTTGAAGCCTCCTCAAATCCATGGTAAACCTAAAGTAGTGTTGTCACTTATTCTGGCTGATTAGACACTATTGGTTGTTAGTGTCGCCGCATCATTCTTACCAGGTAATGATATTTGGTTACCTCCCATAAGTTCTAGTATAGGCCTAATCTCAACCTGAGCAGTCAAACTAATCAATGAAAAAAGCTCTTGTAACTAAAGTTACACTACTAAAATCCATTTAGCTACTTGAGTTTCAGGGTCTTGGTATCGATCAGAGCCATTGTTAACAAACGAGTTAAATTGTTTGCTGTGAAACATGCCAATTCTGTCACACTGAACTTGCTAACTGTACCTTAAGAGGCACATTTAGCAATTACAGCCACTGTGTGTTGGATCTAAACATTGTTTGCTTGGCAGTTTTAATTAAATATGCATGAACTCATTGAAGAATACATTTGTAGATGACTATTTTGTTAAGGTTTTCATCACTTTTATCGAAACAGTGTTCATTTAGAGCAGCTATGAAATATCCGACTGTTTAGTTCAATGCATACTGTACTTACAGTATTGTATGTAATTGCTCCTGAAGATGCTCATCTCACAGCTCATCATCACTGACAGCCTGTAGGGAGTTGTAATTGTTCGTGCATTCGCCTAATTCTTTCAGAGTTCTATTTCTTGTACCAGTGATTTCAGCCTTGTTTAAACTTAGTACTCTGCGGATTGCTGAAGAGGATCTTAAATGTGTGCCTGAACTGATCAGGCGCATGCAGTATGCAGGATGTTCTGTTAAAGCGTCATTCAGCACCTTGGAATGGGAATCTAATGTGAGAGAAGATTCAGTATAGCTGTCGGAGAATGTGTTATACGGTGCGGTGTGCTATCCTGCTTATACAACTTTGAGCAATCATCCAACATAGTACAGTAGTTTGGGAATTGACAGAGGAATTCTGAATACCTCAGCCGTTGAGAGACCATCTGTGTACCCCTGCATGACAGATCAGAGCCACTGAATATTCATGCACCATCCCTCCCCTTATCACATTAGATTAGAACCCATGTGGCGAGATAGCAAGGGGAGAGGCTGACAACGCTGTTACCTCGTCAGAGACCCTTACTGCTTTGTGTTAAATAGCACGTTTTGCCAAATGGACATGTACTATGGTGTGGCACTGGGTGGAATCTTCTATGACGGTGTGTCTGTTTCTGAAGAAAGTTAGAATTCCCTGTGCATTTTGAAATGTGTAACAGTTCAACACTAGGATCTATGTTTACTGTGGGATCCACCACATATTTGAGTTTGATTCCAAATGTGAGAGATGTGTGAAGTGCGAGCAGTTTCCGAAGGGATTTTTTTTCCTTGTGATTTTTCAAAAATGAACACTGACATAAAAGTCAAGTGTGTAAATGCAGTGTACACACTTAGCTTTTCAAGGCAATGGGCAATACTTTGAAGATCCTCAGGGTACATTTATTTTCCGATTATGGAATAATGGTCATTTAACTTGTTTTTAATGTATGTCGAGTGCTCCTTATGCTGCTAATCCAAATGGATCTTTCTTATCCAGTCACCCAAACCTGATTTAGAAAGCAAATTAAGCCTTTAAAATATACATTTTTTAAACACATATATACTGTATTCCTGTATGATGGATTTAAAAATAGATTTTTGTTCATGACATCTGAAAAATATACCAAAAGTCTATCCTTAAAAGAACTGGAAGAGAAATGAGAAGACATTTCGGAGCCCAGCAGATGAGGCTGCCAGTTTGCTCATGTGTGAAATATGAACTCTCAGAGACAAGGTCACTTATATTTGACTTACCTAAATATGGCATAGAAATAGTGTGAATCACTGGGGCTTGAAGAGATAGCCAAGAAATACTCATTAAAGAAGAAGCCTCTCCTGCTACACCTTTTAGAGCCATAAAATGCTTGGGAGGAGAAACTAATATAAGTCATTATTGTGTCAATACAGACGCACAACTACTTGGACATATCACTTCTGTAAATCAGCAGGGGATGACAGGCCTCTTTGTAATAGCCACATTAATTGCTGCATCTCTTACCTTTCAAAGTAGAAATGGATGCTGTGAATAAGTAACCGCCCAATCAAGATGGTCCAAATGCTCTTGGATGTGAGTTCCTCGGGGTGGGATAACTCCGGGGATTGTTACAGACCCCATCGCGTGGGCGATAAATCTTCCCATTAAGTGGCTGCAGCGGCACATTGGTAATTGATATCAATGTAGTTAAGGTGGAGATGTGACACATTTACAGTGCTGGTGCACTGGTCAGCTGTGTTTTATGTGCTCTCGTGGCTGCCACATGAATGAGGGTCACCTATGTGCCTCATGAATCCTTAAACAGCTGCTCTCCGCTGTTTGCCTGGCTGGCGGGGAGAGTCGGGCAGTTTGTTATGGGACTTCACCAGTGCGTCTGCAGAGCAGTGTGGCGAACATCTGTTGTGTGTAAAGAACAATGCTGTGTGAAGTATAAATACATTTGCATATGCATAGGTTCTTCCACTTCCTTTTACGGAGGTCTTGAAATATCAGCACTTTGAGAGGGAAGTCAAAAAAACACTGGAGGAAATGTGTTTACCTGCAAAAAATACAAACGGTAATGACAATGAAATATGCAAATTTATTTCACATATGGTCTCCCAGTGTAATTGCTGCTCCATATGCTTAAAGAAAAAACTTGTTAAAGCTGATGTGGCTTTGCAGTGAAGTGATATAGTTCATGAATTATTAATGCTGGGGGGAAAATGGAGATAGTTTTTTGATGATTGTTTCTCTTCTTTAGGTGTGCAGGAGGTGGTGATCAGATGTCCTCTCAATCACATACAGTGCATCGGGACAAAAAAATGTATTCATTTCAATAAACTCTGCAATGGGGCCAGAGACTGTGAAGATGGCTACGATGAAGGAGTTCACTGTCGAGGTAAGAGTTAATGACGCTTTCACAGCCTGATTCTTTTTTCGCCTTGGGTTTCGAATACATAAATTAGTAAGTATTCTCCTTATTATGTAAATTAATCAGATTATGCTCATTTTATTTGGATTATTAAGATTGTGGAATTTATTTTACACATTAAATCTGTATTACATTTGTAAAATATATAGCTGTGGAAAATGCTTTACTTTTATTCCCTGTTAATAATAGAGATATTCATTATTCCAAACTTTAGTCAAGTAAATTTCATCTTAAGTGTTCTCTTTGGTGATTATAGGAGTTCAGGGATCGTTCTCACATTCACTTAGATAAGCACTGCTTAATCTGTCTTTCCTTTCTACATTTAAATTCAACTCTCAATGCGTGATGGTTGATGATAGAAATGTTAATTCATGAAATGGTAGCATGAGCTGGCACTTTCAAACTTTTCTGGTTGAACTGGTTGCCAAGGTGACTTCTCATCATCCTTCCTGTCAGAGCAGGCTAGAGACGCAGCAGGACGGTAGCACCAGGTGTTGTGTTGTACACAAGTTTTTGTTGTTGCTCGCATTTTTAGCAGCTATACCAAGCTGCTATGGACACCTGGCTTCTGTGATAAGGCAGCGTCTGCTCCGTGATTGCTGCAGTCTTGGCACCACAGTAGCCCCAGTCTGGCAGACATCACGACCTTTTTTGACCTGTAAGACAGTAAAAGTCATGCTGGGCTTTGTCTCTGTATGAGTGCTCGGTGCAAGGATATGGTAGCCTCTGATTCACAGCTGTGAAGAGTCCGAATGCCTGTTTGTTGGCACGGAGAAAAAAAAACAACAACTCTTGCTACAGTGTCTCACTCCCTACACTGTTGCTTACACTGATGGATTTACTTGGTAGGATGCCTGGGACCACAGAATGGAATTAAATCAAGACTGATTGAAGTAGTAGACATAGTAGCGGTATGTAATGTGTCTGCTTTGGTTTAAAAAATTCCATTTAAGTTTATAGATCACCTATAAATGGATAAATTAAATGTTTTACAACCTTTTTCAGGGCTGTATTGAGGCCTGTGGTTCAGAGAACTGTACTGCAGCATAAATTTGATAACCTGCTCTGGCTATTTTTCAAATCTGCTGAATTGTTCTCGAGCTACAAAATGGTCTTCAGGGTTAATACCTTTAACCTCCTCTTATCCTCCAGTTTACTAACATCTTTTATCCTTGGGGTCAGTCTGAACCCAGCAATTTAAACCTTCAGAAAATGATTGTAATTAAAATTATTAGCCAACCTTAGTAAGGATAACAATACCTATTACATGACCACATAATTAGTGATTGACCTAACACTGGAAAGAAAGATCTTTTTGATGTTTTAATTGCTTCATACAGACTCTCTGGCTTTTTTTCTCATTTTCCCAACATGGTAATGTAATTTTATGACCATACAGTTCTCCGGCCATGCCTCTTCCTACCTTCATGCCCTGATTCTCTTCAGGTGCTTCCTCTGGGACTTTCCGAGCATACACCTACATATATCAGACATAGCTGGGCTGTGCATCACACGATGTCTTCATTTTGATATTTGTCCAGGTTGTTGGGTATGCATTATGTGAATGGACAGCAGTCATGAAATACAATAAGACGTTCATCGACAGTCTTGATCAGTGAGGGCTTGAATTGTAAAGAAAGGTTAATCTTTCTCAGGACCAACTTATCTCATACATCCCATATCACTGTGAGTTTGTCACAAAACGTATGATCCGAGGAAAAAAGGTGGAACAGATCGAAAATTTTGCTCGGGTTTGGCCCACTTGACATGTTGCTGTGTTGTGCTATGGCCTATTCAAGTGGTGGAATTTGTTATTTACATGACAATGCCTGAACGCAACACAGGCTCCGTTCCATTGAGTGTGTGTTAGGGCTGTCAAAAAAAATTCAAAGTTCGAAATATATTCAAATATATATATTTTTTATAAGTTCGAACCTAAATTTGATAATGTTGTATATCACTGCGAACCCCGTTCGGGCGGAGATGGCTCGCGCACAAGCCGGGCTAGAGAGGGACGCAGTGACGGAGGGAGAGACGCCTACGGAAGAGCCCGCTGCGCCAACACCACCCACTGCGCTGTCTGTGATGTGTGACCTGTTCGGGGAGACACACAGGGAGAGTGTTGCACCTGCTGCCTCCCTGCCTACCCTTTTTGAAGAAGAGATGAAACGTTACCAGAATGAGACACCACTACGAGCCGAACAGGATCCACTCTTGTGGTGGAAAACTACGCACTGAAGTATCCAAACATTGCTCAAATAGCGAGGCAGAAGTTGGTCATACCTGGCACTTAAGTGAGGTCAGAACGGGTGTTTTCATCTGAGTGTCACGTTCATATTGCAATAAGCATCTTACTTTTTGTGTTTTTTTGTAAAAAAAAAAAAAAATCATAAAAAAATAAAATAAATTTGAATGTTTTTCAAACTCTACTAAATTAATTCGAAAATATTCAAATTCAATTTCATGGTGCTTTTGACAGCCCCAGTGTGTGTGTGTACAGTGCCGCGTTGTGGATTCAGGCCGGGCTCTGTTATGATTGTCTCCGACTCGGGTCAGGTTCGGTCAGGAAAATGCAGCCCGAGCCATGCTCTAGTGTGCTCACCTGTGTCTGTGTGTGCGTGTGTGTGTGTGTGTGTGTGTGCACATGTCTGTGTGTGTTTGTGCGCATCTGGGTGGCCCCCCCTTATATAATGGTAGGGGAAACACTGATGTGGTTGGGTTTAGACAACAAAGGCACATAGTTGGAGTTCAGGAAAAAAGAACAGTGTTTGAATTTACAATTTTACTGGAAGTAAAAACTGCACTCCCGGGTGAAAGCTGGTGGTTATTGGACCCATCCACCATCCCTCCAACCCGCCTTTGGACTTTCGCTGCCTTAACTTTTGTTCTTGTCTTGCTGCGATTCCCCCGATGCCGCAGGACACCGTTAAAGTATAACAGGGACCAGCTATGTATCATGGCAATGCGAAAGGACTTATTTTTTTCAAGCGCCAGATTTCGATGACTTCGAGTGAGACCGGGTTGATGAGAGAACAGAATCTGATATTGGTTGAGAGACGACATGAGAGTTTACCCTAGAGGTCTAATTCTCATTAGAGCAGGATGCTTTAAAATCAGAGTCCTCCTCAACATTATCCTTAGTGTCAGATATGTTTGGGTAACATGGCTGCAGAGACCAAAACCTTTTTTTTTGTACCGGGCTGCAAACATGTTTATTTCTGCTGTAAAGTTGGGCATTTTAACATGAGGGTCTTTGGGGATCTACTCGCTTCTGGAGCCAGCCTCAAGTCGCCATGAGAAGAAATACAGTATTTTTCAGCCCTGGAGATCACCGCTTGGGTCAATCTGACCCCAAGGGTAATAGGATGGCTGAGATCTGTTCATCCAACTAAACCGCAAAGCAAGATAGGAGATCTACACACTTTGTGCAAATACTGTGTTCATTTCATGAAAACAAAAATGAAAAACTCCACCTGGGAATATGCTAAAGTCAGCTCAGGTAGAACACACAGGCAGTATTTGCACGCTCAGATATCCCACTCCATGTGCCACACTGAAAAAGTGTGTCAAAACAGGCAGAAAAAATGCCAGCATATCCACTGATGCTAAAAGGACAAGGTAATTAAAATCTATTATCAGCTACTGGTCATGGGAAGAAGTCCTTCACACATACAGCAAGCAGCCATCATGATAATACCTTCACTGCTTGCAACTTGTAAATGACTCTATTACAGATCCCCCGAAAGGAAAATGATTAGACACCATTCTACTATAGTTCTAGCACACAATTAAAATATGATAGATGTCAGACTCACCTTGCTTTATCTTGCTGGTAGCACTAAAGAATCAGTCCATAGTCTCTCAGAGAAAGTAAAAGACATGTAGAAAGAAAGAAGTTCAGAAATTCTTTTGAATAGAATTATATTATTTTGAATATTTTTGTATTTTTGGAGACAAAGCAACGGCACACAGACTTCCTTGAATCTCTTCAAAAAGTAAATCAGAAGAAAGAGAGACTGAGAACAGAAAAAAATAACAAGGCTTTAATAGCACAAAACCATACTTTTTTCTTCTTACTTTGAAAGCCAACCTCATATTGGATACCTCATAGACCTCAGTGTAAAACAAATGATAAAAGATATTATCTTTTTTAGGGTCTTTTATTATGAAACAACATGTTCATGTAATTATATAACTTTTTTTCAGAAACCGTTCTCATGTATCTCATAATTAGTGCTTAAAATCTGTTTATGTTAGTACTTGGTATCTCTTTTTTTGAATAAATGAGCGACCAGATAGCTTTAATTTTTTCCCCTCATTTTTATACGCTCGTGCGAAGAGTTCTGTATGCTGTACTTGCTGGTATAATGTATTTGTTCTTCACAGGTGAACCTGAAGCTTTAAGTGGTTTCATAAACCCAGGTTTCAAGACCTCCAGTCTCCACCTAAAATTATTTTTCTCTCTAACTTTAAGTGCAGCGAGTTAGACAAAGGATAGAGCCACACTTGAATTAACCATAAATCCAGGAGCACCTGTGCATCAGTTGGGTGTACTGCTTTGCATTTAAAATGTTTTGTTCAAAGCGTCAGGGTTAGGATGTCAGGTGTTCTAAAGCCCACGACTACCAAACAGGAGATCTGCTGCATATTTCATTCTGTGTCACATCCCATACCTTATTTCACAGGAAGGACAACTTAATGTGTCATTGCAGTATTTACCACTAATTAACCACCATTAATTTGACTTGTGGACAACCCAGAAGTTAGAGTTACCCTGGTTGCCTTGACAAAAAAAAAACAAAAACAAAGAGATGTTTCCTTTGGTTTTTGGATTACTGGTGAAAATAAACAAAAGTTTGTGATAATCATACTTTTTGTTCAGCAAGGTTTGGCTATAAACAAACTACAGCACAATGTTGTAAAGGCAGACTAGTGAGTAGATGAAGTTTAATGTCCCCGACAACCTC